TCGTCGATCTGAGCCCAAGATGCTGCGGGAATGTGTGGTGTGACAGTCCCTGGGCTCAGAACGTGCCCCACGGAGACGGCTGGAGTGTGAACGGGGGCAGGGAGGACGCTGGCCGGGAGGCTGCTCAAACAAGAGGTCGAAGCTCACAGAGCCGGGGCTGACCCCTGGGCGCCGGAGCTTCTGCACCTGAGTCAGCCCCGGGCAAACATCAGGAGCCCAGGGCGGGCGCGTGGTCGTCACAGCACGGGCTGGAGTTGTCAAAACGTCACAGTCTCGCCAGGAGCACAGGCCAGGGTTGGGGGTAGACTTGGAGCATGCCAAGTCCGAATGCCCCACCCTCCTCACCCCTGTAGTGTCCCCCAGCACCGCCATGAGGGACCCCAGAGCACAGAGCAGGGTAAAACCGGAACCCCCCGGGGCAGGGGCCCTCCCACTAAAATCAGCACAGTCAGGACCGGGGCCATAGCACAGCGGGGAGGCGTCGGCCTTGCATGCAACTGAACAGGTTTAATCCCAGACACCGCATATGGTCCTCCAGCACTGCCACGAGACAGCCCTGAGCACTGAGCCAGGAGTAAGCCATGAGCACCTCCAGGTATGTCTCCAAAACAGTGTGTGTGTGTCTGTGTGTGTGTGTCTGTGTGTGTGTGTCTCTGTGTCTGTGTGTCTGTATGTGTGTGTGTCTGTGTGTGTAGCACGGCACATTTCCTGATTCTGGTCATTGAACTGTGCCTCTAGATTCTGGTTCTAAAGACTGCATGCTTAGGTAGGGGCCAAGTTTAGTCAGATGTAGAGCACCTGCCTTACACGTGTGAGTGCCTGGATTCAATTCCCAGCACCACACACACACACACACACACACACAGAGTCACATACACAGACACACAGACACACACAGTCACAGACATACACAGAAACACAGTCACGTATACAGACACACGCACACCCAGATGCACACAGACACACAGTCACATTCACAGACACACACAGACACACAGACACACACACACACAAGTTTATAGCAATTAGCAATGAAAGTGCCTCATGTTCACGATTGCTCTCAAATGCTTCTGAGAAAAACACATGCATGGGTCTGGAGATGCAGAATGGAAGAAGATGACAACATTTTGGAAAAGTGAAAATTAAAAAGGATTTAAGGGGCTGGAGCAATAGCACAGCGGGTAGGGCGTTTGCCTTGCACGCGGCCAACCCGGGTTCGATTCCCAGCATCCCATATGGTCCCCTGAGCACCGCCAGGGGTAATTCTTGAGCGCAGAGCCAGGAGTAACCCCTGTGCATTGCCGGGTGTGAGCCAAAAAGGAAAATAAATAAATAAATAAAAAATAAAAAGAATTTAAAATAAAAGCCATACTTTTTATAAGCCTTAAAAACAAAGAAAGAGGGGCTGGAGCGATAGCACAGAGGATAGGGCATTTGCCTTGCACACAGCTGACCCGGGTTCGGTTCCCAGCATCCTATAGGGTCCCCTGAGCACCGCCAGGAGTAATTCCTGAGTGCAGAGTCAGGAGGACCCCTGAGCATCGCCAGGTGTGACCCGGAAAGCAAAAAAAGAAAAAGAAAGAAAGAATGGATTCTAGACCCTTGGCATTTTTTCACGACTTTTATGTCAGGTTAAAACTATTCTTCTTATTGTACAATAACAGCTTAATCTTGGCTTTACTCCCCCGCCCCCTCCCTTTCATTGCTGTTGTTGCAGTAATGCTGCAGGTCATGGTGCTCACCGTTGCTGCTCTTGTCTCCCGTCTGTGCTGTGCTCACACACTTGCCCTAGCTGAAGTGCTCTCTGAGGGGGGTGCAGTGCCCACACTTCCGGGCTCACCAGAGGTTGCCCTTCCTGGCTGCTGCTGGTGCACATATGCGCTCACACACACACACACACACACACACACACACACACACACACACACACACACCCCTCTACAGCTTCCCTGCCCACGGGGGTACACCTCCCTTGTGTGGTGCTTCCCCACACCTGGCGACAGTGGCCCGACAGCACCTGAGATGCTGGGGACTGTAGAACTGCAGGGATGGCACTTGCCCATGAGGGACCCCCGGGGTTTGAACTCAGGACCGCACATTTACAAGACCTGTGCAGTTCCTGGGGGGCCGGGGCGGTGCCTCTTCCTTTCAGTTTGCTGTAAACCCTCTCCGGTTTCTGTAGGCAAACACACAGAAGGAAGAGAGCGTCTGTCTGTCTGTCTGTCCCCACCTCTTCTCCCCAGGGAAGGGAGTGTCGCGAGGCCGTGTGGGGAGCTGGACTGTTCCCCACAGAACGTCCTCATGCTTTTCCCTGCAGTGCTGGGGGCCACGCCCAGGGCTCCACACAGGCCCTCGAGCTTTTTGTCCGTCCCCCCCCACCAGTTTAGTGTCCCGACCACCAGTGCTCGGGGCAGCACTTCTGTGCTGGGGCTGGAGCCACGCCCCGGGCCCCGCATTCCCTCCCCGACTGTCCCCCTCTCCCTCGTTCCCTAGAGGGGGCAGCGCCTCCACTCACGGCCAGGGGGGCGGGGGTGGTCCCTCCACTCTCCCAAGCCCAGACTCGGGGTCACCACCCTGCCCCGGCCTCTGCCCCCGGCTGGTCTTGACTCTGGGGTCCCCCTGCCTCCCTGGCCTTTCCCAGGGCCAGGCCAGCTCCTCGCAATCTGGAGGCAGCTGTAATCCCTCCCCCACGGGGTCACGGGGTCGGTCCCTCCCTCAGGTCGCAGCTGGAAGGTCACCCTGGCCTCCTCTGGGGGCGCCTCCTCCAACTGGATGTCATCGCGGGCTTGTTTTCTGGCTCCCCCCCAAGGGGACCCCTCCCCCGTTCTCGGACCCAGAACACAGGGCCTGACACACACACACACACACACACACACACACACACACACACGCCCTACATGCTGTGCTGGAATGAACACCCCCTCAGCACTCCAGTCTCCAGTCACCCCATCACACAGAGGCAGGACTTGGGGGCCCGGGAGGGGGGTCCTGGCTCCAGGTACCCTGCGTGAGTCGGGGCCCGACCCACTGCACCCTTCCCCGGAGGATCACACGTACGACAGACTTACTGGCCACGGGCAGCCATGTCCACTGCGGCAGGCTGGCCACAGCCCCACGGTGCCCAGCCCCCGCCCCCACCACCAGCTCCCTAACTTCCCTTCAGGGAGGCCGGCTACAATTTGGCAATTGTTCCAGAACTTTTTTTTTTTTCTTTGGGGAGGAAAGCTGCAAGTCATTAAAGGCTGCTCGGGGCCTGCGGGTCACCATTTCCTGTTTAGAAGAATCATCTCTCCTCGGGAACATGAGGCCGGCCGGCCCGCGCCGGGAGCCCGCGCCTGCTCGCCTCGGCAGGAAACTGGCATCTCGGCGCTTTTGTGCTGAGAAAGGACACGCATTGCTCTCCTGGCCCCCGAGGGCCCCCGGGGTGAGGTCAGCGCGCCCGCTGGCCAGCTGAGAGGGAGGGATCCAGCCCAGGACGCGGGCCGGCCGCCCGCCCCGTCCCGTCCCGTCCTGGGAGCAGGAAGCCCAGAGCCCCGACCCTTTGGCCTTGCTCCGCACCCTCCTGGCTCCAGCCAATTTCCTCGCATCAAAGGCCATTTGGTACCCAGCGGCCAGACGGAGGTGTGGGCTCGGCCGGGAGGGCCGAGGCAGCCCAGACCCTTGGAAACAGGAAGGATATCCTCTGTCCTCGTCCTCGGTCCTGCTCCCCTGCACATTCCTCCCCCTGGCCAGAGCTGCTGGCCCCGCCCTGCAGTGCTGGGCAGAGCCTGCCGGGCTGATAAGACCCAGGAAACCTGGGGGGCCTGGTCAGTTTCAAACTGCAGGAATGAGCAGCGGGGACGTGGCCAACGGGGTGACGGGCCCAGTGCTGGCCCTCTGGGATTCCCCACGTCATGGCCAACACCCAGATTCTCTTGCAAACTGCATCTCCCGCGACCCAGCCCGGGAGTCCGAAGCCACGTGGTACCCGAGGCCAAGACTAGGACACGCGCTGTCAAGGCCTGCCCCGTCCTCCAGAGTGGCAAACTCCCCCCCTTTTTTTATTTTTTGGTGGGACTCAGCAAGTAAGTGCTCAGGGGACCATGTGCCGATGCCTTCTCCCCCCTGGTCCGGCCCCAGCCCTTGAAAGTCCCCACTAGTGGCACTGGGCATGAGCTCCAGGCACCAGAAAACCCACCGAAATGCCCTTCCACCAACTTGAGAAGACCCGCTCCTCTATAAATTAGCCACTTTATTGAATATCAATAAACTGTACTTATAACTATACAAAAGGTTTCTGAGTACAAAATGTTGCTTGCAATATAAATACCAGTGTACCTTTAAAAATGTAAACATCGCTCCCAGACCCAGCTGTCGGGGCCCCGAAATAGTTCTGGGAGACACAGAGGGCTGCAGACCTCCTCCCCGACACACACACACACACACACACACACACACACACACACACACACACACACGCTCACATGCGCTTCCCAAGAAACAGGTGCCACGGCTGGGACAAAGGGGGCTTGAGCGCGGCCGGGCCGGGGGGCGTCCAGGAGTCCAGGCACGTCCTGTGTCAGGGACCACCCTGCATTCTCTGGGAGGTCCCTGGGTCAGTCCCGCCTCTTGGAGGGGTGGCAGGGTGTCCCCCCTGCGTGGGGCGGGGCCTCCTGGGTGTCTCTGCTTCTGCCCTGCAGCTCAGAGCAGCCCTATCCAAGCCACCTTGGATACACACACGGCAGAGAGGCCACCGGAGCAGGGGTGGCCCGGGAGGGGACTGTCCCCTGCGAGCCGCTCTCCCATCCGCCGTCCAGAAACGTCCACAGAAGTGCTGAGCCTGCTGAGGTGCCCGGCGGAGGCCCGGGGACGTGGCCCTTAGCTGCGCGCCACGGCAGTCTGAGGGGGTTCCGGGGCCGTGAGCACCAAGGAGCCGCGGGGTCCTTCCTTCTGACACTGGGGGAGGCGGCGGGGGGCCGGGGCGGGGGGCGTCCTGGCGAGGCTGGAGGTGTCTGGGGGGGTCAGCGGGGGCCCCCGGAGCAGCCCGACTCCTGGTGCTTGTGCAGCAGAGACATGCGGGAGAAGGTCCGCGCGCACGTGGGGCACTGGTACTTCTTGACGTCCGAGTGAGTCTGCAGGTGTGCCCGCAGGTTGGAGCGGTCGGCGAAGGCGCGGCTACAGTGGGTGCAGGAGAACGGCTTCTCACCTGTGGAGAGCGGGCACATGAGCCTGGGGGCAGGGGCCGCGAGGGCACCCCCACCCTGTCCTGACCCCCCCGAGGGCACCCCCAACCCCAGAGATCCTGCATCTGGCCGCCACCTGAGAGAGCCCAGCTCTGGGCCCTGCTGCCCCTCGGCCAAGACAGCTACTGAGGGGGCGACAGGTGGCGCAGATGGATGTGGCTGGCCCCATGTGCAGGGAGAGGAGACGGGGAAACTGAGGCACAGAGACGCCCAGCACTGGCCCAGGCCAGGCAGCTGCCCCTCCCAGCACCTGACGGCCCGCAGCTGGGTGGGGAACGGCCCCCTTCCACCCGACCACACCCCCAGCTGCACACACCCTCAGTCACAGGCCCTCCCCACCCACGTCAGTCTCCTGCCCTGGCCCCAATCAGGTAGGGGCTTCTCCCTGGCCCATTCCAAGCCCCCGGGGCTGAAGACAGACACCTGTGCCCTCACCCCGGGCCCGGGCTCCGGCCGCCTGCCGGCTGGGAATGCGGGACATGCCGGCGCGTGCTGGAGGGAGGCCGGAGCGAGTCCTGCGTCGTGACCCCTGTCACCACCAGAGGTGCTGCCCCCGCTGAGAGAGTCACCCCAGGATGACAACAGGCAGAGCTGTGCCGGGGGCCTGGGGCGACGATACAGTGGGCGGGGTGCCTGCCTTGCATGCGGCTGACCCATGTTCAATCCTGGCACCCCGTATGGTCCCCGAGCAACGCCTTGAGTGATCCCCGAGTGCACATCCCTGGGTGCGCCGATCCGCCCCCAAAATGAACAAAATGCTAGTTTAAATAAAAAGTTTGGGGGCACACACAGCACGTGCCAAAAACAGTCATACTTCCCCCACTAAATACTTCCCAAGCTCCTACTTGTCCCCAGCACTTCGTTAGGACCAGGGGGGATGTTCTCCCCACAGAAACTGTTCTCACTGCTGAGTGCCAGGCAGGGGGCCCCAAAGGGACTCGACCCAGAGGGACCGACCAGTGGCCTGGGCCCCCTCCTCAGCTCTCCAGCCCCGCGGGGCTCCTCCTCCTTACACCCACCCCCGCCCCGCCGTGGCACCCCGGAAACGGGCGACCCCCAAACATCTCAGCTGAGGCTCGAGGGTGGCCTCCCTTCTCCGTGCCTCAGTTTCCTCATCTGAGAGCAGGGCCAGGAGGATCCCCTCACACCCCCGATGGCCCATAGCACGGAGGCCTGAACAAAAGGGGGGCGGCTCCCGCCGGGGCAGCCGTCCTCACGGTGTGAAATCGGCACCAGGCCGGCGGGGACAAAGGCCGCGGAGGGGGACACTGTACATGCGATACCCCCCGGATTAGAGGGGCCAGCAGCTGCGGCCCAGAACAGGTGCTGGGCACCGCTGCCCGTGCACCTGCTCTGCCCCCCCCCACCCCGGGCCTCCATCAAGGCTCACAATGGGAGTGATGAGGCCCGCGATGTGCATTTCAACAGGCCCTTTGTGCCGAGTCCGGGTGGGAGGGACCAGGGAGCACCCTAGCGCTGGGCTCACCCCCACTGACAGAGCCGCACAGCTGGGCAGGGCCGCGCCAGGCTCAGGACCTGCAAGTGTGTGAAGCATCACCGCAGGGGCCAGCCAAGAGGCCGCGGACGCCCCCAAAGCTCTCGGCGCTGGGCTTCAGGTGAGCCCAGGGCCCGGGAACACCCCCCCAAAGCCCGCTGGGAACCTTCGAGAACCTTCTACCTCACTGACCACTCTGGTCCCCACTCGCTGCTGGACATGGGAGGGCACAGGAGGCGTCTCTGAAGCCCCTGGCTGGTCTCCTTCTGTAGGGCGGCTGCCCTCCCCCCCAACACAGACAGACAGACACACACGCTCTCACTGGGGAGGGCAGAGCAGCGGCCCTGAGAACAGCCCATCAACTCCCAAAGAGGGATTAAGCAGCGGCCACAGACTCCAGGCAGCCCATAAAACACGGCCTTAACCCACCCTGTTAGCCGAGCACAGCCCTGAGGCCCAGAGAGGTCGGCCCACCTGCCTGGAGCCGCACAGCACGCTCTGCGCAGGACACGCCCCCTCGTTTCCCTTCCGGACCAGCACCTCGGCCAGGTGCTGCGCGTCTGTGTCCCTCACTTGACCCCCACGGAAACCTCACGCGGGGGGTTCGTAAGCTCATTGTCCGGGTGAGGAAACGTGGCTTGGCCACCGGCCCCAGAGGACGGACGGACGGGGAGCCAGGTGGGGAGGGGTCGGCCGGCCGTCTGGCAGGGGGGGGCGGGCCTTCACACCTGGTCCCAACAGGAAGGCGCCCTCGGCACCTTCTCCCCCTCTCGCACCTTCTCCCTCCCACCTCCACCCATTTGGCTGCGGGCTGAGGCTCAAAGGGCCGGTCCCAGTCCCGGCGGGGAGGCGGGACCCCCGGGCCTCCACTTCCGCCCCCCCCAGTCCCGCCGACGCCTGCTCACCTGTGTGCGTGCGGACGTGGCCCTGCAGCAGCCAGGGCCGGGAGAAGGCCTTCCCGCAGGTGTCGCACACGCAGGGCAGCGTGTGGCTCCGGATGTGCATCTTGAGCGCGCCCAGGCTGACGTACTCCTTGGTGCAGTACTTGCAGTTGAAGGCCTTGCGCGCCTGGGGGTCCTTGGCGAGGCCCAGCCCGCTCAGCTGCTTGGGCAGCGGGCCCAGGCCCGGGAAGGCGGCGGCGGCGTAGCCCTCGGCCTCCAGGGAGGAGGCGGAGGTGGAGGAGAAGGACGAGGGGGCCGGCGAGGGCGGGCTGGGGGGCTGCGAGCCCTTCCCGCTGTCCTCGTCCGACAGGGCGGTCAGCTCGGCCGCCTTGGGCAGGTCCGCGGGCAGCAGCGCCGCCCAGCTCAGCGGCCGCGCCTGCGGTGCCAGGAGGGAGTCCCAGATGAGCGTGGGCAGGGAGGCCGTGGGGTTGAGGACCTCCGGGGGCGGGATGGCCGCCAGCAGGTGGGCCTGGTCGTAGGGCTGCTGGAAGGTCAGCTCTGCGGGAGGGGGACACGGGGACGGTCAGCGCGGGGCTCCCTCCGGACCCTGCCCGTCCCCCCTGCCCGGGCGCACACGGGGGCCCGGGACCAGCCCGGCCGGCCCGAGAGAGGCTGACAGGTCCCTCCCGGCCGGCTCACCTGGTGCGCCCGCGGGGGGTGGCCCGCGTGCGCCCCGAGCCCGGGGGTCCCGCTCCCCGGCGGGCGCCCCCTCACACCCCCCACCGGCCGTCCCAGCCCCTCCCCCAAATCCCCTGGACTCCGGACTCTCCCCCGGCGCGCGGGGCCGCCGCGCCCGGCACTCCGCCTCTCGCCGCCGGGCTCCGGGGCTCCCCGCGCCCCGCTCGGCCCCCTCCAGGCGCGCGGGCGCGTGCACGGGGGTCACCTGCCCCCCACGCGCGGCCGAGCAGCCCCCCGCCCGCCCGCGCTGCCCCCGCTGGCCCGCCGTTCCGCCCCCGGGTCTCCCTCCCTCCCTCCCTCCCTCCCTCCGGGCGGCCCCCCACCCGGACCCCGGCCACCCTCCGCCCGGGGGTCCACCCGCCCCGCCAACCCGCCGCCCCCCTCACCTGGGCAGGAGTCGTGCAGCTCGCTGTAGTTGGGCCTCCGGCGGGGGCAGGACGACTTCCGAACCAGGAAGGAGCGAGGCATGGTGGCCGGGGCAGCCGGGGGGGCAGCGGGGCGCGCCGGAGGAGCAGGAGCGTCCACCCGCGAGGCCGTGCAGGACCGCTGTGAGTGGAGCCGCCCCGCCAACTCCTTTAAATACGCCAGCGCCTGGAAGGGCGGGACGGGCGGGGCCCCGCCCCTCGGCCGCGTCCTCGCCAATCGCAGCGGGCCGCTCGCGGAGGCCCCGCCCCGCCGCCGCCGCCGCGCCAATCGCAGCGGGCCGCCCGCGGAGGCCACGCCCCAAGCAGGTGCGCCGGGGGTGGCGGGACCCGCGCCGCGTGGCGCTGCGAGCCGGGCGTGGGCTGCCCGGAGGCGGCGGGCTGTGGGGCGGGTGGGGCGCGGAGGGTCCCACGGAAGGACTCACCCGAGCCCGCGCCGCACCGCCCGCTGCCCGCCGGGCGCCCCCCTCGCGCCGCGCGTCCGGGCACCTGACTTTCCGAAACCGCCTCCGCCTCCGGCCTGGGGAGGGGACGGAGGAAATTTCCTGCCTCTGCCGGCCCGGCCGGCGCCCGGCCTGCAGCGTGGGGTCTGCGGGGGACCCCACGCCCTCCGGGCGGCTGAGACGGGGCCGCTGGCAGAGGAGGCGCCTCTGGCGACGTGCGTCCTTTGCAGCGGTTCGCTGCGCGCCCGCGGCACCGAGCACTGTTCCCGGAGCTGGGCTGCACCTGGAACCGGACGCGCCGGGGTCTCGCCCCAGGGGCGCTCCGCCCTGGGCCGAGGGAGACGCGCCAAACGGTTACAGTGCACCGGGAGCTCGGCCGGGGCACGGCCACCGAGCAGGGACAGGCCAGGGCCGGGCCAGGGGCGACCGCCCCGACAGGAGAGGACACTGCAGGGCACAGGACTTCGTGCGTCCGCGCAGCTGCCGCGGCTGGGGGTGGGGTGGGCAGGCCGGGAGTGACATCTGACCTGCAGGTCAGCGCCTGGAGGAGTTTGGACTTTGCCCGGGGGCACGGGGGAGCCGGGAAGGGCCTTCAGCTGCGCAGGGACCTGTTTCAATCGGCCGAGGGAGATCACGCCGCGCAGGTGGGCGGGCGGGAGAGGGGTGCCCGCACCTGCCCGGGCCGTCACTCCCGCGTCGAGCCTGGACGGGACCCTGTTCCTGCCCTCAGCTCTCACCGGGACGCACCTGAACTGCGGGGGTGGGGGGGTGGGGACCAGAGGCTGAACAAGAAAGGCACAGGGCCGGGAAAACCTGTGAGCGAGGACTAGCACCCCTGGACCTCCTCTTAAGCTCACCCCTCGAATGCAGTCGCCAGTGGCCCCCTTTTTCCCGGCTCACCCACCAAGAGCCAAATCCCCCCTTGACTGTCTTCTGCACTGTGGGAGCCCCTCACCCCGCTGCTCTCTGCACCCCAATGCCCTTTCCCGCCCCCGCCCTGGGCGCTGGCCTCCAGCCTCCCTCCTGAGTCCCCTCTTCCCCCCAGGGTCACCTGGCCGGTTCCCTTTCTTCTCTGCTTCCATTTAACTTTGGCGGCCGGGCGCTTAGCCTCGTTAGTAAAGAGAGAAATGCAGATGAGATTTCACAGCCACCAGAAGGACAACAAGCAAACATTTGGTCAGTGCTGATAGGGGTGTGAGGGCGCTTCGCTGTGTCCCGGGTGCTGGAAGTGACAGGTGACTCACCTCTCAGGCCAACCGCTTCCCAGGGGTTCTCAGACAGAGCCACTCACTGCCCATCGGCTCCAGCCCCACCCCCACAGACAACCTGATTGGATTATTCTGGGTGGGTCCTGAGTATTAGCATTTTGGAGGATTTCCCCCCCAGGTGATTCCTGCCCAAGCCAAGGCCCCGCGGAAGAAGCTGGCACCCTCCTCCCTGAGAGCAAAAACCAAGCTGGAAGCAACCCAGAAGTTTAACCTAGTGGCCCAGAGGAGGAGGAGGGTGGGGTGTAATAGCCGCAGTGGAAATCTATGCAGCAACGAAAAGTATGTGCACAGACACCAGCAGGGGGAAATCTCAAAATGCGAACACTGGGGCACGGGGAGAGTTCAAAGGGCTGACTTTGTGTGTGGAAGCCCCTGGGGTTCGGCCCTGGCACTTCATGGTTTCGTGACCGCAGCGGAGAGCAGCCTCCGAGAGCCTGGGGCAATGGAGTGGTGGCCCCTGGGCACTGCCAGATGTGCCCATTAGGTCACAGATACGTGGTTACATAGAGCCAATGGCAGAAAGGCAAAACCCCATATCGTTTGGGGCTCTATGTGACAGTGGTAGAATGATAGGGAAATGAGGAAATGTTTAATACTAAATTCTGGGCTGGAGCGAGAGCACAGCGGGAAGGGCATTTGCCTTGCGTGTGGCCGACCCTGGTTCGATGCCCAGCATCCCATATGGTTCCCCTGAGCACCGCCAGGAGTAATTCCTGAGTGCAGAGCCAGGAGTAGCCCCTGAACATTGCCAGGTGTGACCCAAAAAGCAAAAACGAAGTAAATAAAAATAAATTTGGGGGTGGGGAGAGGGGGCGTGGTTCATTGGCTGTCAGAGGAATGGCCTCAGGTTCTTAGTAACTGTTTCCTAAGAGTTCTTAGTAACTGTTTCTTCAGTGTTGGTGTTCAGAGTGATGAACAAATTGAATACTTCGAATGAGGTATCTCACATAAAATGAAACTCTACAGACGGAAGAGTTAGTACCCGGGCTAAGGCACTTGCTTTGCATGCGGCCCATCCTCGTTCGAACCTCCCCATATCCTGTGAGCTCAACCATGTGTGATCTAAACCCCCCACCCCCAATCAAGAAAACTCAGGTCCCCACCTTCAGGGAGCTTTTCCAGACCACCCTAGGGGAAGAAGAACCCCACCCTTGCCTGCCAATGCCCACCTTCTAATGCGCTCTGCCTCGCTCATCCTGGCAGGGTTTCACCCTTCAGAGCCTCAGTTTCCCCAACTGAGTGGTTGACTTCTCTCTCCTAGAGAGATGCCCAGAGGGGGAAGAAGTCCAGAGGCCACTCACCATCATGGCCTGGGCTCAGAGCTTCCACTTTCCTTGGGCCTGGGGGTGGTTCTCAGCCCCAGCCGGCTGTGCCTGGAGAGGGTTTCTCAGTCCTGGGGGCGGCGGTGGCGAGGGGCGCAGGGGAGGGAGTTCGGGAGCGCGTGGGGACGCTCAGGGGAGGCACCTCCCACTCCCCCAGTGCGCTCCTCCGGCGCCCTCTGCTGGCCACCGTGCCCTGCGCGATGCGTAGAGTGGGGTGCGCAGGACTTTGGGGGGCGGTGTGTGTGAAAACTGGAATAAAGGGCTTGTGGTGGAGGCTGGAGAGTGGGGATAGCGGGGAGGGCGCTTGCCCTGCATGTGGCCGACCCGAGTTCGATCCCCAGCATCCCATAGGATCCCCCGAGCACCGCCAGGACTCATTCCTGAGCTCGACAAAGAGACAGCCCTGAGCACCGCCCCCCAAATGTGGTCCCAAAATATATAAAAAAAAAAACACCCCACCACCACCATCAAAAAAAAAAGAGAGAGAGAAAAGGGCAGGCCTTGATGGCCACTTGGGCCTATTTTACACTTCCAGGAAAGGCCCTCTGAAAGAAATAACATTTTCCACAGGTGTCCGTTCCTGCCCTCCCCCACCACCATCCTCACTAAAAATAAAGCCAATTTGGGGCAGACTGCTCAGCGGGTATAGGGCCTGTCTTGCATGCCACTGAGCCAGCTTCGATCCCTGGCACCACTATCTCTCTGGACCAAAAATAAGGTCAATTTTAATTTTTAGGAGGGTGCGTGGGGAGGAGGAGTCACTCCTGGAAGGGATCTGGGGACTTACCTGGGAGCTGTGTTGAATCTATTGAATCTAGGTTGGTCACATGCAAGATGAGTGCCCGACCTGCTGTACTCTCGCTCTACTCCCTAAATCCAACTAAATGATCATTTTACAACTAACCCCTCCCCCCAAAAAAATCCGACTCCCTTTCAGTCGCTTGCCTTGCATACAGCCGACCTGGGTTCGAGTTCCAGTACCACATAAGCTCCCCCGAGTTCCACGGGGAGTAAACCCTTGAGCACATTCACATGTAGCTCCCCCAGAAAAGACCCCAACAATTTCCTGTATCACTTTCTGGTCTTCCAGATGGACCCCTTTTTGCTTTTTGGGTCACACCCGGCGATGCACAGGGATCACTCCTGGCTCTGTACTCAGGAATTACTCCTGGCGGTGCTCAGGGGACCCTATGGGATGCTGGGAATCGAACCTGGGTCGGCCGCGTGCAAGGCAAACGCCCTCCCCGCTGTGCCATCGCTCCAGCCCCTCTCCTGGGCCCTTTCGCTGTGAAGCCCGGTGGGTGGCTGGACCTTTGCTCTGGGTCATTACTCTCGGCTCCTTCGGCCTTTTGTGGGGCCGTGGACTTCTCACTGTGGGTGGTAACACTCAAGTTTTCTAACGAGGGGGCGCTGGGTGGCTCTTCGGCGCACATGGTTTCCTTTTTAGGAGTACGAACAGGTGGCAACTTCAGTGAACGCCTTGGACAGACAATTTCTGCCGTCCAGGCCCAGTGACTTGAATGACAGAACGGCGAGGCATTTGTCCGAGTGTCCTCCAAATAAGGTTAAAGTAAGTGACCCTTGCAGCAGACTGGTGGCCAGGCTGGAGGTTCCTTCTCTGAAGCCTTGAGATGCAGACTATTGTCTAACCTTTTTATCTTTGTTCTCCTGATAAGGGGAACTGGGCCGGCCCAATTACTATTTGCACTTCACCCAAGCGGGGTGGGAGACCGTCACATACCCCACAGCCATTCCTGCCTTCTGCTCCAGAGAGTCCTGTTCCTTTTGTGTCCATCCCACCAACCCCTTTTGGCCCAGAGAACTTTTATCTCCGCGTGCGACAGCTGACCACTGGGATGAGACTGGCCGTCGGGGAGGAAACGGCTCGGAGAGCCTCGGTCCCAAGAAGACTTGTCTCTGGAAAGTTGGAGGAACAGGTAAGGGCTCACCTGGCCTCCCCCGTGACTTTTGAGAACCAACCCACTGAGGTCTCACTCTGACTCAGCGCTCGGCCCGCCCCAGGTCCCACCCCCAGGATAGAAATGTCTTTCAGGGGAAACCGGGGCCAGAGCCTTGGTACAGCTGGGAGGGTGTTTGCCTTGCACAAGATCGACCCGGGTTTGATCTGCAGCATCCATATAGTCCCTGAGCATGGCCAAAAGTAATTCCTGAGTGCAGAGCCAGGAGTAACCCCTGAGTAA